CCGGGCGGGGGGGCGCCTGCCGGCGCCCCCCGGGGCGCAAATCAGCAGCCAGAGCAGCGCCAGCGCCGCGGCGGCACCTGCGGGGACACCGGCGGGGTCGGGGGGGGGGGGGGGGCGGGGGGGGGGCCGCCCGCGGGCCCCCGCCGCGGCAGCCGGCGGGTGACGCCCCTGCTTCCAGAAGGATCCCACCGGGGGCGGCATTCCCGGGGACAGGGCGACGCCTCTGCGGCCCTGGCACCAGCCTGAGGTGGGGAGGGGGAGGATGTTGTCCCCGCAGCCCGTGGGAGGGGGCACACGGACGCTTTTTCACCCCCGAGCCGCCTCTGCTCTCCCCTTTGCGGCAAGTGGCTCTGGCCATGATGCTGAGCCATCTTGCGCCATCGTCATTCCGCTTCAGAGTCAATGAGGGTGCTGGAGGGAGCAGTGGGTGCCCCGACTGGGGTTCTTGCCTGTAGGGCTGGCTTGCCAAGGTGCTGCAAAGCCGAGGCTCTTGCTTGGCCCACAAGGACGAGCTGCTGCTGCTGACCTTGTGCTGGGGGGCAGCTGGGTAAGGGCCGCCATGTCACTGCAGGCCAGTGCCGATGGCTTCTGGCTGGAGGAGGGGGTGAACCCTGGGCTGAGGGGCTGGTGCAGAGCCCTGCTCTTGGCCACCCTGGAACCCAGGGAGCAGTCCTGCACCTGTCCCATTGTCTTCCTCCTCTGCCTCTTCCTCCTCCTCTTCCTGCCCCATGGGGCAGCGTCCCCTCCCCTGGACCCTGCAGACCCCCTGTGTGCTGGGGTCTTCTGCCTGCTCAGATCCCACCCCTCGGCCGTGGGGCGCGGGAAGCACAAGGAACGAGCCGAGCTTCTCCCCTGCCACCCCACAGCTATCGTTCCACACCCCAGTGCCTAGAGCAGCCCCTTGGTAGGTGGCCTTGGTGGTATGCGTGGGGGTGGTGGCAGATGCCCTGGGAGTACAGCCAGGGGTGTGGTGGGCTCTGCCATCTCCCGCGCTGCCGCTGACCTCCATTTTGTCTGGGAGGTGGCAGCTGGTACTGGCACAGATGCTGCCACCACCCCTCCGCCTCCCTGTGTGTGGCCAGACCTGGAGCCCCCAAACCCTGGGGGATGTCGGGACCTGGTGTTCCCTCCCCATCCCTGGCTGACCACCCCTCTCCATGCCCAGCCATGCTGGTAACCCGCTGAGCTCGCTGCCTTTTCCATGCAGCTTTTCTCTCCTGTGGGTTTTAGCGTGCAGAAGAGAGGATGGAGGGAATGGGCAACTGAATGCAAGGTGACTCGCCTCTGCAGCAGGGATAGTGAGCTGCCCAGCGGCAAGCAAACTGCCTCATCCGCAGCCTTAAATTTGCTACCTGCAAATTTAATCTGTATTGTATTCTCAGGGAACTGCAAACACTGCGCCAAAACCATGTCCTCCATTGGGGTGGGCGGGAGGCGAGGAGGCACAGGGCAGCGTGCCCATGATGGCACCAGGGAAGCGGGGGGCTGGATTTCAGCTGGGGATCGGGGGGCAACTGCCCCTGCTCTGGGCTGTCCTCTGAGCTGCTTCCCCGCCTGCGGGTGCTGCTCTGGGGAAAACTGCACCATCACGGCCCCTTACCCTGCATGGAGTGGAAGGCGAGTGGGGAGCCGCTGCTGGGCTTGGCTGGCAGGTGCGGGTGGTGCTGCGTCATCCGGGCCAGCTGCCCCCAGGGTCCCCCACTGTCCCCGTTGTCCCCAGAGGGAGGGCAGGGTCCCACAGTGCCAGACAAAGCTGAGGGGCCCAATGAGGGGTGCAGGGGAAGGGCTCATTAAAACAAAGCCCATTGGCAGCTGAGAGCACTGTGGCTTGGGAGGTGCAGCCAGACAGGGCGTCTGCCCTCGCCAACGAGGTGACGTAGGGATGCACACAGACAAAAGGAGAAACTCGCCTTGGATTTCCCTTGGCACAGGCAGCTCTTCATCTGCCAGAGCTGCCTGTGGCCCCGTGCTAGGCACAAGGAATGGGGCATCCTGGCTGTGCTGACCAGCATTAGCATCGCTTGAACCCCCGTGTCCTGTAGCACCCAGGGGACAGACGTCACAGCATGTCCCTGCAGCAACCTTAGGGGAAGAGTTCGCTGCAGGTGGTGCTTGGGGACAATGCTCCCCGTCCCACTGGTCACCTCTCGGTGGTAGCCCTTGGACTTAAGAGAGCTCTCTTCAGCTAATCTCTGCCCAATTAATCTTAGCTGATCCAGTTAATCGTTGCTCTCTAGGCCTTCTGCTCATCACCGGCAGCTGGCAGGTGTGCCAGTAGGGATGGGCAGAATGCAGCAGGCTGCACAGAATGGGAGGGAAGAGATGCCCTGCAGAGTTGGGGGCCAGGTCTGGATGTGCCCCCTGGCACCATGGCCCTGGGGACTCTGCTGTCTCCCTTGTGTGTGGGGTGGCCCTGGGAGGAGGCGGAGAGGGAGCAGGGCCATGGTGCTGGCCCGCTCCCAGTGAAAGGCTGATAGCAGCTTATTGAATTTCTCTCGATGGCAGATTAAGCAGGCGGTGGCTGACTGTCCCCAGGCAGAGCGAGCTGGCTGGGCTCGAGCCACCTGCCTGCCCTGGGAGCGGCTGGCCGCCCCCGCCCCCCCCTGCCTCTGCCCTCCCTGTCCACAGCCTGCCTGCTGCAGTTTGTCCCCTCTCTGCGGGATGCTGAGCGCCTGTGGCCAGTTGCTGCAGGCTGAATTCCTCCTCGTGGCTGAGCCGGGAAAATAAGAGTCAGGGGAAAAAGAGGAGGCTCAGGAAGGAGCTGGGCAGGGGGCTGCCAGCGCTCCCCAAGGGGGCACAGCACTGCCTGGGGTCCTTGCGCCGCTGTGGCAGAGATGGGACTAGAGAGCTGCAGAGGAGCAGGAGGGAAGCCGTGTGTTGCTGACTGAGGAAGCTGAAGGAAATGGATAGAGACAGAAAATGG